ATGTGATAATAATTGATGCTAAGTTGTACTTGTGGGATATGGTCTAATCATTCTAATGCATTATACATTTTAATACTAACGAGTTTTTAGTTCAATGATATTTTTTATCTCGTTAAGACTTTGTTTTTTTGAGGTCAATGGTTCAAGTCCCCTGCCCCCTCTAAAAAAAAAACAAAAGTATACATCCTAACTGTAGGTGACATCTGAACCAGTACTATTAACCTTAGAAATGCAACTTGGGCGGATTAAAAGGTCAACTCTAGTCTAATCATATGTATATAATTTTCAATTCTAACCCTACCTTAACTCGAGGTACTCAACCCAAGTACTGTCCAAATTTAATTCGGGCGGACTCGAGTTGATTTCGGGTTAAAAATCGAGTTGAATTTGAGTTATTTAATTAAGGTTGATTTTTTAAAATGTAGATTTAATTTTTTCACGTATAAGATCTCATTTTTTTCAAGTGATCTGAGTTATTTAATTAAGGTTAATGTCTTTGGTTCAATGATATTCTTTACTACTTGTTAAGAGTTTGTCTTCTTGAGGTCAAGGGTTCAAATCTCCCTTCCCCTTTCTCCTCACTCCAAAAAAAAAAAAATTATACATCCTAACTATAGGTGACATCTGAACCACTACTATCAACCTTAAGGGTGCAACTTGGGCGGATTGAGAGGTCAATCCTAATTCAACCCTAAGTATATAATTTTCAACCCTAATCCTAATTTTAACCCTACCTTAGCTCGAGGTACTCAACCTGAATACTGCCAAAGTTTAATTCGGGCGGGTTCGGGTTGATTTCGAGTTAAAAATTGAGTTGAACTTGAGTTATTTAATTAAGATTGATTTTTTAAAGTATAAATTTAATTTTTTCAAGTGTAAGATCTAATTTTTTTTAAGTCATCTGAGATGAAGGATAAGACACAGATGAAGAGAGAGGGAGGAGTAACGAGTGAGAGAGGGAAGCCGAAGTTTGAGAAAACTCAGATGAGTGATAATTGAGAGAGTGAGGCTGAGAGAGAAAAGATTGATGAGTAAGACAGGGATTTGAGAGTGATGAAGACACATGAGTAAAAATTTGAAGTGAAGTGAAAGTTTGAATTCAAAAGAATGAAAATAAATGTTAATCCCTAATTAAATATATTTATATATTTATGTATATTCGGATTCAACTTGAAAACCTGATGTCTCGAGTTAAATTTGAATTGAGCTGCCCAAGTTGCACCCATAATCAACGTTGTAGGTGAGCTACCTCAAATCCTATTTTGTTGTACATTGACGAGTATACCCTTCAAAAAAGTTATGCTAAGTGGAAAAATGGAGAGAATGTGGGTGTACATTTGTCCTTGAAATTTGTATTATAAGAATAATTGAATAGATGGAGAGGGGTCGTGATCCCCTGCTACAAAGCCGTAAGAGTGCTTTACCTTGACATTTATATTATAAGAATAATTGAATAGATGTAGCGGGGTCCCTGATCCCCCGCTGCAGAGCAGTAGGAGTGCTTTACTTGAAATTGAGTATCAGTCAAATTGAATAAATGGAGAGGAGTACTGATACCCTGCTGCACAGCAGTAGGAGTTCTTTACTTGACCGTGACATTTGAGTATAAGACAAATTGAATAGATGGAGAGGATCCAACTTGTTATTTAAACAAGTAAAAGTTGTGTCTCGAGTGAGGATAGCATAATTTTTTTGCATATTTATGAAGTTTTGAAAAATTTAAACATCTCAAAAATAGATAAAAAAGTAGGAATTTATCGAATGAACGCTCTCCTTCGTATACGTCAAGAGTCCATCAATAAGAAAGAGATGAAAAAAAATTGAACTCAATTTCTACAATAATGAATATGAGTGCACTTGAAATTCTTACGAGTTATACATTTGTGTATTGATAAGACTATTCACTATTTCTTAAAACTCAATCTCTCTTCCAGATAAAATGTATAGTTAAGAGAAACTATGAATCAGAATAAAAAATTTGCCCCACCTATGAAGAAATATTTTATAGTCTCATTAGATCATACATCTTTTTTGATATATCTAAATAATAAATAAGGGTAAAAATAAAATATTTTAAAATTACAAAGATAATTATTAAATCGGTAGCACCACGTCAAAATAAACCTTTTAAAGTCGCGGCTAATTGGATAGATGGAGTGGAGTCCCTGATTCCCTGCTGCAGAGCAGGCGTGCTATACTTGAAATTTATATTATAAGAATAATTGAATATATGGACAGTCCCTGATCCCCTGCTGCACAGCAATAGGACTACTTTCCTTTCCCTTGAAATTGAGTATAGGACGAATTAAATAGATAGAGAAGAGTCCCTGGTCCCTGATCCCCTGCAGCACAGCAGTAGGAGTGCTTTACTTTCTCTTGAAATTGAACATATGACTACGCCTATCAAAGTCTGATACGATACGATTAATTGACACAAATTGACATGAATTAAATAAGTTTGTGTGAGACCTTAACGGGTTCGGGTGATAAACAGGTTGACCCGTATAATAAACGGATTATATTAGGGTGAGTCATGTCAACCCATTTATCATCCGTATATCCGTTTAAATATAATTAATATAATAATAAATTAATAATTATTTTAAAAAAATTAGGCATTTTTTTTAAGTGACAGCCACAAATTTTTTTTTAATTTAGTGACAGCCACAAAAATATAATAATAAATTAATATTAAACAGATTAAACGATTCGTGTTCGTGTTAAAATTTTTATCAATTTATTAAATGGGTCATATATGAGTTTACATATTTTTTATTCATCACTCGTTTAACTCGACACGTTTAACACCTATGACAAATCGAATAGACGGAGAGGAGTCCATAATCCCCTACTGCACTATTGCCCTTGAAAGCAATAGGAGTACTTCCTTACTTTCCCTTGGAAGTGCTTTACTTTGGCCTTGAAAGTGCTTTACTTGAAATTTATATTATAAGAAAATTGAATACATAACCAACTATGGTAGCCTTGTTGGCCAGGGCCTCTGACCTTCCAGTGAGAGGTCAAGCGTTCGAAATCTTCTGCACTTAAAAAAGCAGTATTATGATATTTGTTCACAGAATGATCTAGTTTCAGTAGAGCTAGTCTTTCTAAATCCACCACTAGAATCCCCCACCTGGCAAAAAAAAAAANGACAAATTGAATAGATGGAGAGGATCCAACTTGTTATTTAAACAAGTAAAAGTTGTGTCTCGAGTGAGGATAGCATAATTTTTTTGCATATTTATGAAGTTTTGAAAAATTTAAACATCTCAAAAATAGATAAAAAAGTAGGAATTTATCGAATGAACGCTCTCCTTCGTATACGTCAAGAGTCCATCAGTAAGAAAGAGATGAAAAAAAATTGAACTCAATTTCTACAATAATGAATATGAGTGCACTTGAAATTCTTAAGAGTTATACATTTGTATATTGATAAGACTATCCACTATTTCTTAAAACTCAATCTCTCTTCCAGATAAAATGTATAGTTATGAGAAACTATGAATCAGAATAAAAAATTTGCCCCACTTATGAAGAAATATTTTATAGTCTCATTAGATCATACATCTTTTTTGATATATCTAAATAATAAATAAGGGCAAAAATGAAATATTTTAAAATTACAAAGATAATTATTAAATTGGTAGCACCACGTCAAAATAATCCTTTTAAAGTCGCGGCTAATTGGATAGATGGAGTGGAGTCCCTGATTCCCTGCTGCAGAGCAGGCGTGCTTTACCTGAAATTTATATTACAAGAATAATTGAATATATGGACAGTCCCTGATCCCCTGCTGCACAGCAATAGGACTACTTTCCTTTCCCTTGAAATTGAGTATAAGACGAATTAAATACATAGAGAAGAGTCCCTGGTCCCTGATCCCCTGCAGCACAGCAGTAGGAGTGCTTTACTTTCCCTTGAAATTGAACATATGACTACGCCTATCAAAGTCTGATACGATACGATTAATTGACACAAATTGACATGAATTAAATAGGTTTGTGTGAGACCTTAACGGGTTCGGGTGATAAACAGGTTGACCCGTATAATAAACGGATTATATTAGGGTGAGTCATGTCAACCCATTTATCATCCGTATATCCGTTTAAATATAATTAATATAATAATAAATTAATAATTATTTTAAAAAATTAGGCATTTTTTTAAGTGACAGCCACAATTTTTTTTTTAATTTAGTGACAGCCACAAAAATATAATAATAAATTAATATTAAGCAGATTAAACGATTCGTGTTCGTGTTAAAATTTTTATCAATTTATTAAATGGGTCATATATGAGTTTATTTTTTATTCATCACTCGTTTAAATCGACAAGTTTTAACACCTATGACAAATCGAATAGACGGAGAGGAGTCCATAATCCCCTACTGCACTATTGCCCTTGAAAGCAATAGGAGTACTTCCTTACTTTCCCTTGGAAGTGCTTTACTTTGGCCTTGAAAGTGCTTTACTTGAAATTTATATTATAAGAAAATTGAATACATAACCAACTATGGTAGCCTTGTTGGCCAGGGCCTCTGACCTTCCAGTGAGAGGTCAAGCGTTCGAAATCTTCTGCACTTAAAAAAGCAGTATTATGATATTTGTTCACAGAATGATCTAGTTTCAGTAGAGCTAGTCTTTCTAAATCCACCACTAGAATCCCCCAACTGGCAAAAAAAAAAAGTCCTTTTAATCCACCACTATAAATTTCGCAGCAGGCCGCAGAAATCCCCAGCCACCCTCTAACACCTCAACTCCAAACGCCGCAGACACCCTCAAATCCCCCCTATTACTATCCTTGCACTACTATCGAAGTCTGATATTCCTACAAATCCCCTGTTACTATCCTTGCATTACTATCCAAGTCTGATATTCCTACATTTCCCTGTACTATCCTTCTACAAACTTAGCTGATTCTTCTTCTTGTTCATGGCCTCCTCAAAACCAATAAGAACGACCCTTCTGAATGATGAGAGAAAGTATACGAATTTTGCTCTAATGTCCGCAGAAGATATTCCTGAGTTTGCTGTCATGATACCAAGTTCGCGAATTTTTGCTAGACCCAAAAAATTGCATATGGCAACATTGAATGACTTGTTGGTTGTCTCAATACGATATCCTTTAATAGCTTTTGTTGATATCATTTCTGATGGATAATGAGTTGTTTCCTCTCTTTTAACTTTGAATTCTCTCCTTTAATAGCTTTTGTTGATATCATTTCTGATGGATAATGAGTTGTTTCCTCTCATTTAACTTTGAATTCTCTCTGATCTAATCTTATATGTATGTTAGACATAGCTCATAAGCCTCCATTGAAGGCTCGCCATTAATCTTTAACAGCCTCAACACTACAATTGTAATTGCTGCGTAAATTATATCACACTTTCAAAATATCCTTTGATCCAAGCTCAGTAGGACTGGGCTTCTATTGAAGACTCAGTTGATGACAGCCGTGCTCAAAGTATAGGACTCGGCTGAGAAAAGATTATTGGGCTGCAGAGACAAAGAGGTTTGCCAGTTGGGTTTCGGTTTTCAGGTATATTGGCCGGTAGGTAGCAAAGAATTTTTTTCACGTGTTACTGGGTTCTTGACATGGGCCCACTATGAGCTCAGATTCATAAATTTCGGCTTTGGAAATGATTCCTCATAAAAGTTGTCGTATNGAAAAGATTATTGGGCTGCAGAGACAAAGAGGTTTGCCAGTTGGGTTTCGATTTTCAGGTATATTGGCCGGTAGGTAGCAAAGAATTTTTTTCACGTGTTACTGGGTTCTTGACATGGGCCCACTATGAGCTCAGATTCATAAATTTCGGCTTTGGAAACGATTCCTCATAAAAGTTGTCGTATTGTGGGGTTAGTTTAGTGTTTCTGTCAACTGTTGATCTTGACCAAGAAAATACAGAGGACGAGGGCATCGAAAGGGGCCAACTTGGCCTAAACGCTGAGTCCTGTAAATTTCTTGGTATTTCAGCCGGAGATGANACTGCGGCTTTGGAAATGATTCCTCATAAAAGTTGTCGTATTGTGGAGTTAGTTTAGTGTTTCTGTCAACTGTTGATCTTGACCAAGAAAATACAGAGGACGAGGGCATCGAAAGGGGCCAACTTGGCCTAAACGCTGAGTCCTGTAAATTTCTTGGTATTTCAGCCGGAGATGAGGTTAACATAAAAGTGTAAGTATTTTCAGTAATTATGGATGTTGTGTTAATAAATGCAATTTGTTTGAGGATTTTATGTTATCGTATATGTTGATTTTTTTTTTTTTAGGTTTGTTCCACCGTCAAAGGGACTTGATTTGTCACACTTGAGGATTGAGGTGGATTTACTGGATGGAAGTTCAACTCATCAGCCGGTTCTAGCTTCCAACTTGGTGATAGAATTTGTGAAAACATTTAAAAAGCAGGTGATTTTTCTTTTCAATTTGTTATCTGTTTGCTTCAGCTACATCTATCTAATTTATCTTAAATATAATTGTGTCAATATGTAGATTTTTACTGAATTTCAAAGCATCTTGTTGAGATATGGCGGCAATATCTATCACTGCACGGTTGCTGAGGAGAAAAATTCCCCTGCCCCAAAGCGAGGGATGCTCCGCAAGACAACAAAAGTGATTGTGGAGGTTTCTAGTTCTATGGTATACGCACGTAACCTGGATATGTTTTGCTCTGTTATATATGTGCAATTCAGTCGAGTACATGTTATTCGATACCATATGAAAACAGTGCAAGTCAAATAAATGGGAGGGATTTAGTATGAAGTGGGACTTCATTTATGATTTGTCAAAAAGGTTTGCACACACCAAATATAGCTTGAGGAAAATAAAAATGGGTAAATTATATTTGGATCCCCTGACATTTGACTTTATTACACGAACACCCCTCACATTTCAAAAACTACACTGAGACCCCAATAGATGGACGTTGTTAACGATATTAACAAAAAAGACTATTTTACCCTACATATAATTAATTAAAACTTTAAAAAATCAAACCCATTACCCACGTCTCTCTCTACCACAACACTCAGTGGCACAACACCAGCCCTCCATCACCCACACTCTTTCTCCACTCTTACCAATATCCACTATCGACCCCGTCGAAAATCCAAAAGCAACAGCGAATCCAACAACCAACACCTCCAAGACTATCTTACCCTATATTTAATTAATTAAAAATTAGAAAAATCAAACCCATTACCCAAATCTCTCTCTCTCACACAGTGAGAAACCTAACACCCAGCAACGCAGCACCAACCCCCCACCATCCCACTCTTCCCCCACTGTTACCAATATCCACTACTAACGTCGTTGTAAATCCAAACGCAATAGCGCATCCAACAACCAACACCTCCAACGCCAAAGAGACCCACCCACAACCGATATCATCGTTTCTCCCAATCTGAATCCCATCACGGATCTGATTCTACACACTAGGTTTTATTGTAGATCTAAAATTGAAGGAGATATTTGTGTTTTCAATATTATTTATTTGTTTAATAGAGAGTATGACATGACAGAAGGGTATTTTGGGTATTATATCAAATTTTGTTGATGATGTCATCTTATTTCGTTATTTATTTGACGTCCGTTAGACTGGAGGGGTGTGACCGTCACACACCTTAAAATATCAAGGGATTTTAGTGTAGTTTTTGAAATGTGAGGGGTGTCTTTGTATTAAAGTCAAATGTCAGGCAATTTAAGTATAATTTATCAAAAAAAAATCGCACATCAAGCTTGTTTTTGGGGTTGGAAGCTGTAAAGATCAATTCTCCATGAGACTTCCTTCCTAAGCCTATCAAGTACCCATTGGCGTTCCCCTGTTTTGCACTGAGGGGGTCTTACCACTGGCCTTCCTGTTTTGCGAGGATTTCACTTGCTATGACTTCCATAGTTTACAGATGTTCGTAGTTACATTAAGGGTTTATGTGATTTATCTATAATGCACGTCACAAAGAACAAGACATGAGATGCTTTCAACTTCCTTTTATTGAGCTCCGAGCATTCATTGTATATTCCAATGCTAGAAATTCTATGGACAGTTCTAGATTTATCTATGTGGCTAACTTGACCATGACATAATAGTAAGGTCATATGTTAGGAGGGTGATCGTCTTAGATTTTATTCTTACACCTTCAAGAAAAATGAGAAGACGACAAGCAAAATTTGAAGCTCGTTTATTTTCTTAGTAATTGTATAGAAGAGGGTTTTGGTGTCCCCATCTTTTATGATTCTNAATGCTAGAAATTCTATGGACAGTTCTAGATTTATCTTTGTGGCTAACTTGACCATGACATAATAGTAAGGTCATATGTTAGGAGGGTGGTCGTCTTAGATTTTATTCTTACACCTTGAAGAAAAATGAGAAGACGACAAGCAAAATTTGAAGCTCGTTCATTTTCTTAGTAATTGTATAGAAGAGGGTTTTGGTGTCCCCATCTTTTATGATTCTTTTAATTTTCCAAACCTTGTTATTTTTTTATTTCTCTGGTTCCCTTAAGTGAGCAACCAAACATGTGTGAACATTTGATTTTTTAGCCAATGTAAGCACTGCACCTATTTACATAGGATTTTTTTGATGTACATATCCTTTTGTATGGTAAAAGTCTAGGTTCAAATTATGCAAAGTAGGCAAAGGGATTTATTTTGGGTAAATGAAGCGAAGGTTGAAAATCATGCAACACTAATACGTTTCTATAATTAAGGTAATTTTGGTAATAGGGGGTTAGTGTTTTTCTTTTTTTTTTGACAATTTATTCTAAAAAAAATTAATAACACGTTTAGAATGTGTTTACATTTTTTTTTACTGTCCCATCTTAAAAATAAGATTAAAATATAAAAACATTAAAAATAATACTTTTAAAAACATCAAAAAAAAATAAAAAAATACACGATCCAATTAATGAGATCTTACCTTCTTGTTAACACTAATATCTAGGTCTTTTAGTTGAATGTATAAAAACATTTTCCTTTCTNCTCACATAACCTGGATATGTTTTGCTCTGTTATATATGTGCAATTCACTCGAGTACATGTTATTCGATACCATATGAAAACAGTGCAAGTCAAATAAATGGGAGGGATTTAGTATGACGTGGGACTTCATTTGTGATTTGTCAAAAAGGTTTGCACACACCAAATATAGCTTGAGGAAAAAAAAATAAGGGTAAATTATATTTGGATCCCCTGACATTTGACTTTATTACACGAACACCCCTCACATTTTAAAAACTACACTAAGACCCCAATAGATGGACGTTGTTAACGATATTAACAAAAAAGACTATTTTACCCTACATATAATTAATTAAAACTTAAAAAAATCAAACCCATTACCCACGTCTCTCTCTACCACAACACTCAGTGGCACAACACCAGCCCTTCATCACCCACACTCTTTCTCCACTCTTACCAATATCCAATATCGACCCCGTCGAAAATCCAAACGCAACAGCGAATCCAACAACCAACACCTCCAAGACTATCTTACCCTATATTTAATTAATTAAAAATTCGAAAAATCAAACCCATTACCCAAATCTCTCTCTCTCACACAGTGAGAAACCTAATACCCAGCAACGCAGCACCAACCCCCCACCATCCCACTCTTCCCCCACTGTTACCAATATCCACTACTAACGTCGTTGTAAATCCAAACGCAATAGCGCATCCAACAACCAACACCTCCAACGCCAAAGAGACCCACCCACAACCGATATCACCGTTTCTCCCAATCTGAATCCCATCACGGATCTGATTCTACACACTAGGTTTTATTGTAGATCTAAAATTGAAGGAGATATTTGTGTTTTCAATATTATTTATTTGTTTAATAGAGAGTATGACATGACAGAAGGGTATTTTGGGTATTATATCAAATTTTGTTGATGATGTCATCTTATTTCGTTATTTATTTGACGTCCGTTAGACTGGAGGGGTGTGACCGTCACACACCTTAAAATATCAAGGGATTTTAGTGTAGTTTTTGAAATGTGAGGGGTGTCTTTGTATTAAAGTCAAATGTCAGGCAATTTAAGTATAATTTATCAAAAAAAAATCGCACATCAAGCTTGTTTTTGGGGTTGGAAGCTGTAAAGATCAATTCTCCATGAGACTTCCTTCCTAAGCCTATCAAGTACCCATTGGCGTTCCCCTGTTTTGCACTGAGGGGGTCTTACCACTGGCCTTCCTGTTTTGCGAGGATTTCACTTGCTATGACTTCCATAGTTTACAGATGTTCGTAGTTACATTAAGGGTTTATGTGATTTATCTATAATGCACGTCACAAAGAACAAGACATGAGATGCTTTCAACTTCCTTTTATTGAGCTCCGAGCATTCATTGTATATTCCAATGCTAGAAATTCTATGGACAGTTCTAGATTTATCTTTGTGGCTAACTTGACCATGACATAATAGTAAGGTCATATGTTAGGAGGGTGGTCGTCTTAGATTTTATTCTTACACCTTGAAGAAAAATGAGAAGACGACAAGCAAAATTTGAAGCTCGTTCATTTTCTTAGTAATTGTATAGAAGAGGGTTTTGGTGTCCCCATCTTTTATGATTCTTTTAATTTTCCAAACCTTGTTATTTTTTTATTTCTCTGGTTCCCTTAAGTGAGCAACCAAACATGTGTGAACATTTGATTTTTTAGCCAATGTAAGCACTGCACCTATTTACATAGGATTTTTTTGATGTACATATCCTTTTGTATGGTAAAAGTCTAGGTTCAAATTATGCAAAGTAGGCAAATGAAGCGAAGGTTGAAAATCATGCAACACTATTACGTTTCTATAATTTAGGTAATTTTGGTAATAGGGGGTTAGTGTTTTTCTTTTTTTTTTTTTGCAATTTATTCTAAAAAAAATTAATAACACGTTTAGAATGTGTTTACATTTTTTTTTACTGTCCCATCTTAAAAATAAGATTAAAATATAAAAACATTAAAAATAATACTTTTAAAAACATCAAAAAAAAATAAAAAAATACACGATCCAATTAATGAGATCTTACCTTCTTGTTAACACTAATATCTAGGTCTTTTAGTTGAATGTATAAAAACATTTTCCTTTCTTTTTCTCTCTTTTCGTCATCTGTCCCTGTCTCTGTCCCTGTCTCGCTGGTTTCTCTCTTCTGAAACCGATGCCGAAGTCTCTCTCGCTGGTTTCTCTCATCTGAACCGAAGCCAAAGACGCAGAAATGGAATATTAAATCGAAGATGAAGACGAAACCCACTTCGTCTCTCTCATATATATATACACACACACATAGATCTACATCGGTGGTGAGGGTGGGTTTCGGTGGTTGGGGGTGGTCAGTGGGGTGGTTGTGGTGGTGGTTTTCAGTGGTGGGGGTGGGTTGTGGGTTTCGGTGGTGGGTTTCGGTGATGGGGTTGGGTGGTCAGTGGGGGTTGGCGTGGTGATTTTGGGTGGTCAGTGGGGTTGGGTGGTGATTTTTTTGTTATAATACCGATAGATTTTTTATTTTTGTTTTCACAATTTTTTATATTTAAAAAATTGATTATCTAACATATTTTATATTTTTAATTTTTCTGACGAAAAAAACAAAACTTAATTCTGTTTTTTTTTATGAAAGAAAACATAAAAATAAAAATGTTACCAAATAACAGCTGGATTGTTTACATGTTGTATCTCATCAACTGATTTGTGTTCCTGACATAACCAACTGGTATAAGGAGCTACCTAAGTGTGTTTGTTTGATTGTTTGTTTTTCACGACAACACTCAATTCATTTGACAACGACTTTTCCCAACAATTTGGGGTCTGTTGTATTGATCCTATTTCGCCAAATCATAGGCTATCATCTATAGTTAATGTCAGTCCACTTTGTTTTATTCTTGGTGTAAAATAGTATATCTTTAGGAGTTGAATATCATGTTGTGGAATAATGTGTATAAAACTTGTCATGATTGACCAGAGCGGACAGGTCATTGGAGCCGAAATAATTAAGAGCATTTTTCGTGATGGTTTCGACATGACTTCTCTGGAACAAGAGCTGATATCTCTAAACATAGGGGGGATGACCTCACAGATCCGTGAAATTGTTCGCCTTGCATTTGGCTCCCGAATGGTATCACCCGCCACTGCAAAGAAGTAAAATTTGATTTCACAGTCTGCATACGTTTTTTTTCCTCTTTCTTGGTGTTGGAAAGCATATGTTAGATACATTTATCTTACTAAACAATGAAGCTTGTGGGACCTCAAATCCCCCTATATGTGAAATATTAAAGATCATAATTGTTCAGGCTGAATTTTGTAGCAGCATCAGTAGTAGTATTAGCAGTAGAATGAAGTAGTATCAGAATTGTAGAAATATATTAGGGAGACTAAGCTCTTTAGAGAGTTGGACTACATTTTTATTTACTTCACTCTCCTTAAATATTGGCAAGAAAAAACATATTCTATTCTTGTTTTATTGTGTTAGCTTTGGATTGATTGACAACTTAGGAGGTGACAACTACCAAAGAGATTGTAGTTTTCCACTCAAACATTTAGGCATCAGATGCCTTCAGTTTTTCAAAATTCACTTTCTTTGGTCTTGAAGATCATGGGAGTCGGGGAAGACCCTTAATGGGGTGCTGCATTCAAAAGGTTGTTTTTAGGGTTTTAAATTCTGACATAAACAATTTGCGATGTAGAAATGTAGGTTCGAGTAATCGGCCTTTGTGACTATAATTAGGTCTAGACTTGCGTTTATTCTTATGATATTCCTTGAATGCACTTAATTGCACATGTTTGCTTCTTCTTCCCTGAGTTTCCTCTGCTAGAGAATTGTTTAACAAATTTTTACCAATGCTGTTTACGGATTGTTTAATAAATTTTTACAATGCTTTCTGGTACCATGTTGTCTAAAAGGTCAATCTTCTTTAGTAACCCAAGTTCTTTCGTTAATCATGGAAATTATTCAATTCTAGGTTGAATCTAAAGCACATAAAAGGGATGCTGCTGTATGGTCCACCAGGCTCTGGGAAAACATTGATTGCTCGAAGTATTTGCAAGTTACTAAATGCAAAAGAGCCCCTGGTATCTCTCTCCCTTTCTACCTACTCCTCGTCTCTCCATCCTCTCTTTCTTACACACACAATAACAATAATAGCCAATGAATTTCAAAATCTTGTCTTACTCTAACTTTTCACTTTTTACCCTTTTAGATTGTACGTGGACCAGAAATCACACAAGAATTGTATGGTGCATCTGAGAGGCATATAAGGGCACTATTTGATGCTGCTGAGAAAGATGAAAAACAATATGGTAAAAATAAGATACTTAATTTTCATAAGAAATTTATTCAATCTTCTTACACATCATACTGAGTTCCTGTTATTCTTTCGTCAGGTTCTAAAAGTGACTTGCATGTCATTATTTTTGATGAGATAGATTCCATTGGAAAGGTAAGCAGACATGTGCAATGATTGTTCTTTTCTAGCCTCATGTGGTCTAGAATTTGTCTTGGATGTATGTTTCACAATAAGGGAAAGAACTTTTTATTTTGTATGTATAAACAACAAGGTGTTTGAAATCTCGTGAGTCATTTTGGTTGTGTGCAGAAAAGAGGAGCAGCTGCTGGATCCTTCCAACATGATGATAAGATTGTGAATCAATTGTTAACGATGGTCAGATTCTTAATTTCTTTTCAGGTTTTGCATTTCTTTCTAGTTTTTGTGTCCTAACCTGAGCAGCAATTGATGTAAATGTTTAGATTGATGGCACAACAGAACTGAACAACATCTTTATTATTGCGACAACAAACCGAAAGGACCTCCTCGATGAAGCCCTCCTTAGGTAACTTTCTCTCCTTCCTCTTTTTTTACTTGATTAGAATCAATGGATGAATCCGAGGTAATTTTAATAGGTTTCAAAATTCATTTGACCTGAAAATGTTTGTCTTGCAACACCTTAAGCATAAGACCACCATCCTCTTTCTTCCCTTCCTTTCCCCAATGAACATGTTGGCAAAAATTTATGGATGGCCTGTATTTGAGATTTATGGCTAGGATCCATTATCTATTGAAAAGGGCTATGTCNAAGATCATAATTGTTCAGGCTGAATTTTGTAGCAGCATCAGTAGTAGTATTAGCAGTAGAATGAAGTAGTATCAGAATTGTAGAAATATATTAGGGAGACTAAGCTCTTTAGAGAGTTGGACTACATTTTTATTTACTTCACTCTCCTTAAATATTGGCAAGAAAAAACATATTCTATTCTTGTTTTATTGTGTTAGCTTTGGATTGATTGACAACTTAGGAGGTGACAACTACCAAAGAGATTGTAGTTTTCCACTCAAACATTTAGACATCTGATGCCTTCAGTTTTTCAAAATTCACTTTCTTTGGTCTTGAAGATCATGGGAGTCGGGGAAGACCCTTAATGGGGTGCTGCATTCAAAAGGTTGTTTTTAGGGTTTTAAATTCTGACATAAACAATTTGCGATGTAGAAATGTAGGTTCGAGTAATCAGCCTTTGTGACTATAATTAGGTCTAGACTTGCGTTTATTCTTATGATATTCCTTGAATGCACTTAATTGCACATGTTTGCTTCTTCTTCCCTGAGTTTCCTCTGCTAGAGAATTGTTTAACAAATTTTTACCAATGCTGTTTACGGATTGTTTAATAAATTTTTACAATGCTTTCTGGTACCATGTTGTCTAAAAGGTCAATCTTCTTTAGTAACCCAAGTTCTTTCGTTAATCATGGAAATTATTCAATTCTAGGTTGAATCTAAAGCACATAAAAGGGATGCTGCTGTATGGTCCACCAGGCTCTGGGAAAACATTGATTGCTCGAAGTATTTGCAAGTTACTAAATGCAAAAGAGCCCCTGGTATCTCTCTCCCTTTCTACCTACTCCTCGTCTCTCCATCCTCTCTTTCTTACACACACAATAACAATAATAGCCAATGAATTTCAAAATCTTGTCTTACTCTAACTTTTCACTTTTTACCCTTTTAGATTGTACGTGGACCAGAAATCACACAAGAATTGTATGGTGCATCTGAGAGGCATATAAGGGCACTATTTGATGCTGCTGAGAAAGATGAAAAACAATATGGTAAAAATAAGATACTTAATTTTCATAAGAAATTTATTCAATCTTCTTACACATCATACTGAGTTCCTGTTATTCTTTCGTCAGGTTCTAAAAGTGACTTGCATGTCATTATTTTTGATGAGATAGATTCCATTGGAAAGGTAAGCAGACATGTGCAATGATTGTTCTTTTCTAGCCTCATGTGGTCTAGAATTTGTCTTGGATGTATGTTTCACAATAAGGGAAAGAACTTTTTATTTTGTATGTATAAACAACAAGGTGTTTGAAATCTCGTGAGTCATTTTGGTTGTGTGCAGAAAAGAGGAGCAGCTGCTGGATCCTTCCAACATGATGATAAGATTGTGAATCAATTGTTAACGATGGTCAGATTCTTAATTTCTTTTCAGGTTTTGCATTTCTTTCTAGTTTTTGTGTCCTAACCTGAGCAGCAATTGATGTAAATGTTTAGATTGATGGCACAACAGAACTGAACAACATCTTTATTATTGCGACAACAAACCGAAAGGACCTCCTCGATGAAGCCCTCCTTAGGTAACTTTCTCTCCTTCCTCTTTTTTTACTTGATTAGAATCAATGGATGAATCCGAGGTAATTTTAATAGGTTTCAAAATTCATTTGACCTGAAAATGTTTGTCTTGCAACACCTTAAGCATAAGACCACCATCCTCTTTCTTCCCTTCCTTTCCCCAATGAACATGTTGGCAAAAATTTATGGATGGCCTGTATTTGAGATTTATGGCTAGGATCCATTATCTATTGAAAAGGGCTATGTCTAAATAATCTTATGTTTTTCCTCTTTCGGTAAATAAAACAATTGAATTGACTGATATACATAATGTACGAAACAGGGGAATCCCAGACAGTCACATAAAGAAAGCTACAGTGTATAATGTCAGGTGTTAACACAAATTTGTAGGACTAACATACATACATTACACTAAACAAATTTGCTCTATAGGAAACATCATAGAACAAACCTAGGCAGGAAAAAAAAGGCCAAGTTATGGTCATTACTTTTGTATACAAAAGCAAGAGTTCTAGCAACTGGCAATCTTGAATCAGAGGCCTGTTGTAATTGAAGGCATTGTCTTTGAGCTTCAGTGATGCATTTCAGGTATGAATGTATTGACAATTCCTTTTTGAATTGTGTATACATCTTTGAACTCTTTTCTAAAAATTCTGTAGTTCATTTCCCTCCATAATGCATTAACTGTTATTGTTGTTTTCATCTGCGTATAATGCCAGTCACTTTTAGATGTTAGGATACTGTGGTTAAATTTTCGTGGCTAAGGCTTGATATATGTGTTTCTGTAACCAATGGGCCTTTGGTCCAATCCAATGGTACTCCTTGTCTTGTGAAAATTTTGCCTTCTTGAGGTCAAGGGTTCAAGTCCCCCTTCCCCCTCCCCTCCTCTCCTCTCCCCTCCCCTCCCCTCCCCAAAAAAAAAAAATAATAATAATAATAAAAATGTGTTTCTGTGCATATCCGCACATATGAAAAAGAGTATAGGATAAGGTATAACGTAAATATTGTTTATAATGGAAATTAGAAATCTATAGGAGCAAGATAGTGGATTATTGAAGAATTCTGCACCTTGAATTATCTGTGCTGTCAAAAGGCTTCCCCCCCCTCCCAAAACAAAACAAAAAAAAAAAACCTATTTTTGTTGTGTGCAGTATGTACACTGCAATTAGTTGTGAGGTCTTCTCTTTTACATTGTTGAGTAATATTTGTATTTGTTTTTCTTTTCTATATACCTTCTGGTGATTATTATCTGATAGTATTTATCATTTGCTTCTCTTTGCTTAATCAAGAATATTGCTGTCTACTGTCAACTTGATAAGACTAGACCAACATGAATCTAAGATTAGTAACAAACATTATTTAATTGTTTCTACAAGCATCATTTTAACCTGCTGGTTTGCACCAGATAATTTTTAGTTCATAAGGGAAGGCAATATTGACTTAAAACTTGATTATCAAAATCATGATTTAGGATGTCATGATTCTACCATCCAATACTGGCAAAGCCATTTGAGTCTCTAAAGGTCCTGGCTAATAGAATCTTTTTGATTCCAATCCCAATTACTATTTTTTATCACCGCAAGTTGTCAGATTTTTTTTCTTAGGCAATTGTAGTCATTTACGTTTACCAATCCATATATTAGTGATTGTCCTACACTCTTTTCAGTCCATTAGGTTATTTCAGCCAGTGAGAAAACTACCAAAAATTTTTTTCATCACAGAAAATGCTCTTCGGTCGTTTATCTCCCTCATTGAAACAAACAGTTAGCTTTGTTCACTTTTCTCTCGACGAGTGATTATGACTAGATATGTTTTCCATTATTATTCTCATTTTTATTTATTCGATATCGAACCATCAAAATTGTTTATTCAAGAGTCGCTCGACTTTACCAATCTCTCCTTTATCCTCATCTCTCTCTCCATGCTAAGATCGAAATACTCCAATTCTCATTTACTCTTCACAGAATCCCACAAGATTAACTACTCATTTTTTTATTTTCAATGCTCTTTAATACTCAGATTATAGGTGCTCAAATTTTAACCGTACTTCTAAGTTCTATATGTTTGTCGTAACATCTCTACATTTTGCATATATACTAGGTTTATTTTGTCTTGATTTCTAAGAATTTTGTATTCGTAAATATATTTTTAGTTCCATTTTTCAGTACGTAAGATCACAGGATTCTCAATCTGATCTTACGATCTCAATCCTTTAGCCTCTTTCATTGATCCAAGGTAGGATCCCCTAGTAGATTATTTGTATCGAAATTTGGAATTGTACTTAGTTATAATCCTACACAAACAAAGTTGCTTTAAAGTTAATGATGAAAAGTCAAATAAGTTTAGTTGTCACTCTTTACCCACTTAACGTATATGCATGTTAACTTTTCTTCAAAAACCACCTAAACAAATAATTAACATGTGACTGATCAATTACGTTGTTTATAAATAATCACTAACTTGGTTCATCATAATTGCTCGTAATCCTCCACCCCCAAGCCCAACAAAACAAACATATGCACCCAAAAAGACGAAAAAGGCTCCATCATTCCTTTAATTTTGTTTATTTTTATTCCTAGGGATGGTAGAATCGAACTCCATATCAAGATAGACTATCCTGATGAGCAAGGGCGCAAGCAAATTTTGGATGTTTGCACAAGGAAATGGAAACAAGCTTCTCTCCTTGATATAGATGTTGATCTACAAGAAATAGGTATCTACAAGAAATTGTTGATCTAGATTTTGTTGTACAGAACCTCGTTCACTAATGAAAACTGTCCATCACTGTTCAATATATATAATGTCTCGGTTCTTGCATACAGCTCGCAGGACCATTGGATATAGTGGTGCTGCACTTGCATCCCTTGTGACACGTTCCCAGTCGTATGCTAATGGAGAACATGTGACTTTACACCCAATGAGGCCTGTCAAAATGACCATGAATCATTTTCTCCGTGCTTTAGAATGTGGCAGACTCAAACTTCAGGAGTCTAACCAACTCAGGTGAAGAACTTTAGGAATAGTTTCATATAGTTGAACAATCATTCATATTGAATCTTCCAGTACCAACTTTACATTAATTTTTCAATGAGATAACTTTTCATTCATTGACATCAGGCAGAACACATGTTTAATCTGCGTAGATCTCATAATATCACATATTGAATACATGAGAATAATTTCATCTAGCAGCAAAAGGCTTCACAAGGACATGGATTTTCATTTCATAGACATCTTGGGCATAAAATTCTGCTTATCTGAGTTGCTTTTTCATGTATCAAACCCTGCTAATCATTCACAAGTATTATAATTTCTTATAGTTGAACAATCATTTATATTGCTTTTTTTAGTACACAGAATGTTTTGAGTACTATACCTTCGTTATCCATGTTACTACAAAAAAATGAAAAATTCAAATACCACTTACTATTTCAAAAATTTTGTAGACCTAAAACATGAAACAGGGTACCAAATTTTGACCACCCTCTTTAACTCATCTCCGGTGACCACATTTACCAGCCTTCCCTTTTCCTGCTGACTTAATTTTTTTGTGTTTGGGATGAAAGTACTTTCAATGAACTGACCAAACCTTTTTTTTTAAATTACATGAGGCCCATGTTCAATTTGAACTTGTTTTGAGAAATAGGTTCGTTTTTAAATTTCTATCTTTGGGCATTTGATATCCTTCCTTGAATAATTGGATCTTACAGCTTGTAAAACAAAAAGATTGGAGGAAAATGGATGACCTGATTGCATGATGACTTTGAATTGCTTTCATTTATAATATCCTTGCCTATTTAAGGTCCAAGGTAAAATAATTCCACTAGACTGAGGGTGACTAGGTATCAGTTGGATTATCTTGTAGTTAAGGAAAAGCATGCTTGCTAAACTTACATGAATTTACTTGTCTAGGAATAAGTGCCCTGTATTATTCTACATAAAATTCACAAACTCTATTATTCTCCTACATAGGTCAAATAAAAGGAAACAAATTCTGCTTTGGAAGGCAAAACTGAGATCGAATTGTCCGAACATTTTTCTTTTGTTCCCACATTTATTCCACATGTTGAACTTGCATATCTCCTTGAGATAACTGCATGCATTAGTTTCATTTCGGGAGAAAAATCCCATAATTTTCGTTTGGAGAATGCAATGGTGGTTCTACTTTTAATCCTGATCAGTTTATTATCTTCTTATCTAAATTTCAGGGTGGAGAAGGCAATGGTTGTTCTACTTTTAATCCTACTTTTAATCCTGATCAGTTTTATTATCTTGTTATCTAAATTTCAGGGTGGAGGAAGAACAAACAGTAAGCACTTGTTTCTTATTTTAAATCAGTAAAGGGCCTTTGAAAAGTGTTTCTTATTTCATGGAAAATGCTATTTCAACCCTAATTTGGAGACGTAATTCAATATAACCATTGAATTGAAAGTGGATTTCACCTGACATTGGAACTCACAACTAATCTAATGGTTGCATTGAATTAGGTCCAAATTAGGTCCTGTAGCATTGTTCTTTATTTCACTTACATGTATTTCTTGTCGTTTTGCTTTGCAGCCGCAGTTGAGCTCCACCGATATACTAGAATTTCTGAAGGTTGCCCACTCTTTAGCCAAATTCAAGAAGAAAATCGTAAGTTCTCACTAATTGCGATCATCTTTTATAATTGCTTCCTAATAGTGGCTTGAACAATCAATGATGTCATTACAGAAGACAGTTGAGGGTGCCCTCTTTTCTTACGTTCTAACCAATTACAATAATCACTCGTAATTGCCTCATAATTGTGGTTGTAATCTGTAACCGTGTCATTACAGGAGGCACATCCACTTGCAGACCTTGCTTCTTTTGACGAGGATAAGGCCAAGCTCAGTTGTTGAATGCGTTAAGCAGGAACTTGGGAAGTTCAACTGAATCTAGAAATGAGAACTTTTCAACAACTGAGCTTTGTCAATAGGATTCTCTTTTTTCCTTGTACGAGGCTTGTTTTTTTTTTCTTGTATTTCATGTTTTGCTAGTCATGTCACGTAACTTTATGAACGTGTATGTGGAAACTCAAATTGGTGGTTGAGAATTTTGAACATCAACACGTATCTATAAACTCGACAAACAAGATTGAATTTACTGGTTTTGCATTGCTATTAGAAGGTACTTTTAGTAGTCATTTCATTGGGAAATGTGTCCAATCTTTCTAACCCAGGAATTATTTGTTGGCAACCACTTGTGTGATGTGTATTTGATATCTGGGTTGCGGCTGCACTGAACTGAAGCTTGGGGTTTGTGCTTTATGCAAGCCCAGGGTCACCTTGGACTAGCTCAGTGGGCCCCAGTGTAAATGTGATATTGATGAATACAAATATTGTATTTTGTTCAAGAGATTGACAGGAGTTAGACCAAACGAGATTACCTATTGTGGGTGTTCTTTCAGCTTGTACCAATGCTGGGATGATTGATAGGGATTGGCTTATTTTGAGATGATGAAAAAGGAACATAGAATCAAGCCAGTGATTGATCATTATTTGTGTCTGGTTGATATGTTCATTTGGGTGAGGCCGATTAGATGAAGCTTTTGATTTCATCCAGAAGATGAATTTTGAGCCCAGTAAGTTTATATGTGCAAACCTTCATTGCAAGTTGTCGGAGTCATGGGAATTCAGAGTTAGGATTGTATGCAGCTGAATGATTACTCGGTCTTAAACCAAAAGACTAAGAAACTTATCTATTGCTGTTAAAGATGTACCACTTGGCAGGGAGATGGATGCCAGGAATTTTCAAGGGTTATAAAAAATGATGAGAGGGGAAAAACTCTGAAAATTAATGGATTAGCATTAGAGATGAGGTTTATTCAGTTAAGCCTGATGAGCGGTTGCATACACAATGCAAAAGGGTGGACAAATTATTGGGGAATTTGCTTGAGAAAGCAAGGACTCTTGGATATGAACCACATGGAAGTTTAGAGGTAATGAATGAGGAGAATGTAGAAATAACTTTATTCACTGTTCATCATAGTGAAAAGTTGGCTCTTGCGTTTGGTTTGTTGAACACTCCAAATGCTGCCCCTATATGGATTATTAAGAGTATTATGCCATAATTTTATGAAATTCATCTCCATTTTAATTGAAAGGGAATCATCATTCGAGATAGTGAGTGCCTGCACAAATTTGTCAACGGCCAATGTTCATGCATGGATTTTTGCTGTCTTCTTTGATATCATTTGAACCCAAGCCATGAGCTGGCTAATTCCTAATGTGGTAATCCTTTCACCTTTTAAGTGGCCATAAAATTTTGTTGTATCTAATTTTTTGATGTTTAGAAAAAAATTTATTCTCTGCCATTACTATTTAGTTAAGTTTATAGACTACAGATGTTTTAGCATTGGTGTTCTGGCGTACGACAAGTGAAAGAATTCATGTGGGTCTTGGTTGAATTGAGTTTCTTTAGAAAATTTAACAAAATGGACAATATAGTCAAAACTGAAACAAGAAGTAGGTCTGGATATTTATATCGTTTTGAGGTTGATCAAAAAAACTTAAAGTGGAATATAGTTTTTTTGTAATCAATGCATTGATTTATTTTAACTTTGGTAACTGCTCAAGACAACATTTATTTGTGAATTTTTTGGCTCGATAGCTTTATACTCAGNAATTTCAGTAGAATTATTTGATTAACACCAAATTTTAATATTTGATAGATCCCACAGTCAATCCAAAAGTTATAGTGAATTAAATCAACAAATTAGATCAATAAATAAGGTTTCAAAAGCATTGCTCAAAATTAAAAGGGTTGACAATTGTAAAAAAAATTTGGTGCCCAATTATCAATTGNAGTCGGATAATATTTGTAGTGACTAAGGTAATGTTTAGGATAACTATGAGATCCAAAAAGTACTTCTTAAAGTAATGTTTAGGATAATTATGAGATCCAAAAAGTACTTCTTAAGAGAATAGAAGTAATTTAAGGTGGTGGCTTTACCTGGTTTACAATAAATCTTCACAACTGTAAAAAAAAGTGCCGGAGTTGTAGTAGAAACTGCAGCAGGTTATATATATTTACTCATATGAGATGGTGCACTGCAGTGGAGGGAGGGAGGGAGGTACCTCCATTACCAAATGAAATGACAAACATACCCTTCTTAAAAGCAAGGATGGGAAAAAGAATGGTGTGGAATACAATTATATTTTTGTCCTTGGAGTTATAAATTAGCAACAGTAGTTTGAGACNTAAATTCATCTACTTTTAATCCAACAAAAAACAAATCCCGCCCAAAACTTAAACCACTTGCACGTCCCCCCACCCCACTGTCAGAGCCCCTCTATCTCTTCACCTGTCTCTCTGTCTCCACACCCGTTGCGACTTCTGTACCTCTCCACACCCTGCTCTCTCTCTCTCCATACTTACTAAAATATCTGCCTTGGCTCACCGGCGACGACCACACACTACAGGTTAGCTACTCTCTCTCTATGTCTCTCTCACCTCTCTTTCTTCAGCCACACACACACAAACAAACCCACAACACAAAACACACAGATCACGCAGAAACCCACAACACAAAACACACAGATCACGCAGAAACCCACAACACGGGCACACAGATAACGCACACACAACATAAAACACACAGAGAGACAAACAGACCACACACACATCCCACAGCAGCACGCACACACGCAAATTAATTTGGATTTTTGAATGTTAGGGTTTTCAAATTGTGTGTTTAATTTGGGTGTTGAATAGAGATTGTGAAATTTCAAATTGGTTTTTTTTTTAAAAATTATGAAATAGGTTTATAGTGTCCTGATTGGATGAATGTTAAGAGTTATTTAGATTAAGATTGTGTATTAATTTATTTGACTTCCACAATTTTAGAGATTGTGTGTCAATTAGTGTGAAATAGACTTATAGGGTCTTCATTTGATGTATGTTAGGGTTATTTAGATTAAGATTGTGTGTTAATTGAATGTTATGTGTTAATTTCATTCAATAAGATTTGTAGGGTTTTTGGATGTTAGGGTTTTTGTTAATCGCATGGAATGGATGTTGAGTTGATGGTTATTGAGGGTTCATTTTGGAAAATTTGTTGACTAATTTTTTTTCAAATTGGGTTTTTAATTTTGGTGTTAAATAAGGTTTAGAAATTTCAAATTGGTTTTTTTTTTAAAATTATGAAATAGGTGTATAGGGTCTTGATTTGATGAATGTTTGGGTTATTGAGATTAACATTGTGTGTTAATTGATTTTACTTTCATAATTTCAAAGATTGTGTATTAATTGATATGAAATATGTTTATAAGGTCTTGATTTGATGTATGTTATGGTTATTTAGATTAAGATTGTGTGTCAATTGAAGTTTACGTGTTAAGTTCATTCAATAAGATTTTTATTTTTTTTGGATGTTAGGGTTTTTGTTAATTGCATTGAATGGATGTTGAATGTTCATTTTATAAAATTTGTAGGCTAATTGTAGTTGTTGAATTTTTTGATCGTAACTGAAAATTATTTAGTAAGAAATTGAATGTTAAGGTTTTTAAATTGGTTTTCCTTTCATGAAATAGGGTTTTTGAATTGAAATATGAAATTGGGTTTTTTTGAAAGAGTTTTATATGGTTTTGATTGAATATATTTTAAAAGGTTATTTTGATTGAGATTCTGTGACGAAGATTGTGTGTTTGAGTTATTAGCGTTTTGATTGAATCTATGTTATGTTTTTTATGAAAGAGATTTGTAAGGTTGACATTTGATGCTTATTCATTTGGGTTTAGATTGCTTTGGATTGTGCAATAGATGTATCAAAGGTTGTCCAGGTTCCCTCTCCCTCTGCCTCTCTAATATCTACTGAGAGGGAGTGTAGAGATGCACATGAGTGATTGGTGCGCTTGGTAAGTGTGCGTAATCAATATTTTTTGTTGCTAATGAATTAGTATCTATAACAATTTATATCGTTGACATGAGGTAAGGCATTTCATATATTGTGGTTTTGTTGCGTTTGTACTCAGTTTCCAATCCCATCTCTTTCTCTCTATATTGTAGTTCCTTTTTCTTACTTCCTAAAAAATCTCTTTTCTCCAAACTCAGCTTCTTCACTGGTACCAAAATCAATTGCTTCAAAATTCTTAGACATCAAAAGTTCGTGGTTGTGAGATAGGGTTCTGTTTCTAACTCAAAGACTACAACACAACACGGTTGAAATTATGCCCCCTCAGTCACCAGGTTATGAAATAAAGCATCCCTTGAAGTTTATATATTAGTTGATTAGAAACTATTTTTGTATGGTTATTCTAATTTGTGTTCTAGAATGAGATTAAATATTTATTTCTCTCTGAATGTAGGCTTATTTCTTGAAAAGGAAGTTTTATTGGTACGGGAGGAATAGGAAAATAGGTAAGATCNAGAAACCCACAACACGGGCACACAGATAACGCACACACAACACAAAACACACAGAGAGACAAACAGACCACACACACATCCCACAGCAGCACGCACACACGCAAATTAATTTGGATTTTTGAATGTTAGGGTTTTCAAATTGTGTGTTTAATTTGGGTGTTGAATAGAGATTGTGAAATTTCAAATTGGTTTTTTTTTTAAAAATTATGAAATAGGTTTATAGTGTCCTGATTGGATGAATGTTAAGAGTTATTTAGATTAAGATTGTGTATTAATTTATTTGACTTCCACAATTTTAGAGATTGTGTGTCAATTAGTGTGAAATAGACTTATAGGGTCTTCATTTGATGTATGTTAGGGTTATTTAGATTAAGATTGTGTGTTAATTGAATGTTATGTGTTAATTTCATTCAATAAGATTTGTAGGGTTTTTGGATGTTAGGGTTTTTGTTAATCGCATGGAATGGATGTTGAGTTGATGGTTATTGAGGGT